CACAAAAACTACCAATAACAGTCCAGAAAGTGAGAAACTTATTTGCTGAGTAAAATAGGAATGGAATTCAAGGAAGTTCTTCAAATTGTGCCTTTGTGATATGTGATTTGTGTATGAAACTATACTGTTATTGTGTCAGTGATTTTGGGGTTTTATTCATGTCTCACACACATTCAAGTGTAACATTTAATTAATTATAAGTTAGTAATTCATTTAATTGAATTTATAACTGTACTGGTGAATTTTTAACATAAGTATTCAAAATTTTGGTAAAGATACATGTGATGGATTATTAGTTTGCATTGAGCATGATGCTGGATATTGTTTGTTACCAATGTATTTATTCTATGTTACTTCTCAAGTTTCATAACATCACTTAAATGTTTTTAATATATTCGATCAATGCATACTATTTATGCAAGATATATTACTGTATTCAGCGGCGGCTCACACAAATCGGTCCGACCAAAATAGTTCCATCATGATAAGTAGATACAACATTATTGTTCATGATAAGAATATAATGCTGTGTATTCATACGTACAAGAAACCAAAATTAATGTAAATTTTTTCTCCAAAGATCACTTTCACCCCTAAATGCAAATAAAAAATATTAATATTCCTACGCTCGCTCCCTCCTCGGCTTTTTTTTTAACATGTTTGATAACAGAGAATATCTAGGTCATTCTTCGATTGATATCTTTTCACCGATGAATTGATTATACTATATCACCAATTGTAGTATAATCATGTTAATTGTTCGTTAATCATCATATAGTTTCCTCTTAGAGAAAAAATTAATCATTCTATGTGTGTGTTATATTAATGACGGAATTTTCGATCCCTGAGCAGATACCTGCACTTGTGTAGACAAACTGTATGGAGTACCTATAAAATGTGCAACAAAACCCGAACTGGGCCGGAGATTTCTAAACTGACATTCGGGATTGTATAATTTTTATTAATCAGAATTTGTATTCATTTGATCTAATTAAGAAAAAAAAGTTTTGAATGCCATCATTACTTCTCGGCAAAACAAAACGCGTAAGACTCTTCGAGCTCGGTAGATGCGTTTGCCAACTCCATCGCACGTGTGTAGACCAAGGCTAACTGGTCTTGCGGACACAGGTATGTGTACTGTTTGTTTAGAGACTGGGTGACCGTAATGCTATGGACTCGCGAAATTTACACAAGTTCCAGTTTTTTTTATAAAAGTCATTAAACACTGTTTAACATATTAAATCTAAAAGTCGAATATCTTTGGATATGGGGTAACCCATATCCATTCTTGTTATATGTATTACTTAACATTTTTCTGTGATGTCACAATAATGCTAAGTGACATCAAATAAATGCTTCATACTGTATTTCATTTGTTTTGCATTGATTTTGCATTTTTCCGTGATGTCAAATTAATCCTTCATCTCATTTACATATTTCGCAAAAATCCAGCCATTTTCAATCAAAAGTCAATGCAAAATAAATCAAAATCCAATGTTCAATGCTATTTCAATGCTTTTTTTCCATACAATTAAGCATGGAGGCACAGTTGATTTCTTTGCAAATCAAAAAACAATGAAAATCCAATGCTCAGAAAACAACTACAAAATAAATCAAAATTCAATCAATTTGATTTTGCTAAGGGTTAGAGATAAAATTACATTGTCAGACATTTTTTTCTCGATTATTTGTTTTGATTTGTTGCACATTTGTTTATGTTTGTTCACTTTAAGATTATACAAGATTCTCAGCATTCATATTTTAAATCACTTATTATGGGGAAAATGAATTAAGACAAAGCATGGTGTTTATTTTAATATCAAATTTAAATTTCTTCAATCTTAATTTTCAATAACCAAAATGACATATTCTGACTCAAATTACAGAGATATTCTCATAATTCTATGAAAATCGTAAAACACCACAATTTTTTTTTTTTCAGCATTGCAAATTTACAAAAATTTCATATTGATTAGGTCACATGCTTTTTAAAATTATACTTTTAATGAAAATTGATGTGCAAGCTCCTTATCGATAATATATATGCATTCCGGTAATTAGCTTTAGATTTCAAATGTTCTAATAATTACTATTTACAGAACACTTTTTGAATGAAATTGGGTGTGAAAAAAAGTTCCCTATGACATGGATTTATAAGCTCAAAATAGCTGTTCTAAATTAAGAACCATATATATCCCCCCCTTCAACAATTATTTCTTCACCCTATACACTATAAACCAGAAACTAATGGAGACCCTCTGAGGTATAAATGGAGTAGAAATTTTGCTGGCAAAATCTACATGAAAAAGTAATTAAATATAAACAGAAAAGCTGACAAAATCCCCCAGAAACCTTTCACATCAGAGGGTGGAAGACAGCACTCCAAACAGGATTAATTATCTCCATGATTTAATGTTGACTCAGAAACTTTTGATTCCAACTAAAAAAAAAAAACTTGCTCCATTTTCCCAGCTGTTTATTTCTTCTTTATTTCCTTTTTTTCATTTTTATTTGGGGAGGTTATAAAATATCAATGCAAAATATATTCCAGAGCCTTATGTTGATTTAAATTACCTGAGATTCTTTATTTTTACCCAGGCAGGAAAATTGCTTACCTGTTGACCATCACAAAAATTATCCTTTCTTAGTAAATTCTCCAAAATGCACCAAACTGAAGAAAACCAAATACAACTTCATCAAGTCATAAGTTTCATAGTTCACAATTACATATAGAAGGTCTTCTCTACATTTTATGTCACAGCTATAGGAGAAGTACAGGGAAGACTGAAGTAGATTGAGGGAAGACTAGAGCAAAGGCTGGCACGTTGATCCTGGAAGTTCAAAGAGTGTCCAAATACCTGCAGGAGGGCTCCATGTTAATACTACATAAACAATTTACACATTATTTCAAACAAAAACTGATATGCCTTTAGATTGATGGTGCACATAAAAAGCATTGAATGCAAGTGTTCTTTCTCCTGGTCAATATAAAGCTTCATCATCCAGACAGACTTTATTAACAGTGATAAAAGCAGATTTTATTATGAAGAGAATCCTCTTAAATATTGAAATAAAAATTCAAAAATCTTTTTATATTTGTACTCTTTGTATTATTTATATAGCATGTATGCATTTTGTTCTTTGAGGTTGTGATTCCATTTTCATTATTCTTTCAGGTTAAGAATTCAAAAAATCCCATTTTCTTGCATTACATATTCAATTTCTCCTTCTTTTAAAACTGAGAGTTGATCAAACCTTTTAAACACTCGAGTTAAAAGGACCAAAGTTTGTCTGATACCTGATCAAACCAAAGTATCAGTTTAGAGGCAGAAAATAAATCGCTTCTCTGTTGGGCAAACACAAACTTAAGTGAGTCTCTCTGCATGTCTTTCAATTTAAGCAGAATGGCTGCTGATAAGCTGACTCAGATTAACTGATCCAGGAATTCCATAACCAATTAATGAAATCTTAATTAAAAAGTAATGAGCGTCACTTTTCTCAACTGCCTGTTATCTTTTGCCTCTCTTTGAAAACTTAATAAACTAGAGTTGAACCAAAGACTCTAGGGTTAATGCTTATTCTTTTAAATTTTTTAATCACAAATAAAGGTTTTAAATGCAAGTAATAATATCAAAATGCAAAAATAATTATATTTATATGCTACTTATTCAGGGGAAAAAAGTCAGTAGATGTATTTCTGAATCTTCATGTTTGATGTTTATGAGGTATTAGAGAGAATTGTGTTTTGACATCCTATAGGTCTATACAGAGCATCACTTGTACCTGGCTTTGATTAGCCCTAATTGTGCTTATACTCTTCTGATTATTTTCCCTGGCAGGTACAAATTGTCTGCCCTTTTAACAGAAGCACCAAGAAAAACAGAAAGCATTCCAGCTTCGCCACACACAAGAGAAACGCCACTGACCACAGTCAAAAGACGGAGACCTCGTTCTGTAAGTGAAACCCTCAACAAATGGCTAGGAGAAAGTAGCTGATCCATACACCATATGTTTGCATGAAATCAAAATGGGGTTAAAAGGACACATGTCACATTAGCAGGGGACAAAAGTTCAATTAAATACACAGTGATCACCCTAAAAAGAATATTCAATTGGATTCAACCTGTTACATCAATTTCTGCATCTCTTGGCAAGCTAAACCCGAATACACAAAGTTGTGTGTTTTTAAACTGCATTAAAGGCTTAAAAATAGTTATTTTCATGTTATATGAAAAAAAAAAAATCGAATTAATAAATCTAAAGCAGCTTTCATAAATGGAAGATATCTCTTTTTTGATATAAAGCAAGGACAATTAATATAGATTTTTTCCTCTGTTTGATTAACAAGTGCCCTTAGTCTGCACATACTTTATCTAGCACTTTAACAATAAGAAATGTCCTATTCAATACTTCAAAAACAATAAGCTCATTACACAAAATGGCCTTATATTCCTATAAAACATTATTATGTGGAGATACCAGCAAAGCATCCAGAGAAAGTGAGTAATTGAAATTGTCAGAATATCTGTTTAGGACTCCATGAAGATGCAATCAGACATTGATGATGGGGAGGACATGCAAAACCCATCCAGTCTTACCCCCTGGGAAAGATCAATACCCAATAAATTACGGGGAAAAAATAAACAGCTGCTGACTTTACTGCTTCACTGGGTGCTATGAATAGCTCAAAGGATATAAAAAATACTCTCTTCTACAAGTTTTTTATGTTTGGGACACAATATGTCAGCTCAAATCAGTGGATGAATTTTTCTCTTTTTTTCTTATCCTAATTTGGGGGGTGGTGGTCGAAAAGGGGGGGGGTATGAAGAGAGGTATGAAAATTAAAATAACATCATTTGCTTTATAAACATTAAATGTAAGTGTAGAGAAAGGCTTGCTGAAATATGGAAGAATTCTCCACAATGAATGGGCCTGGACTTCGCTTGAAATAACGCCAAAGTTTGAATGAAGACTATTAGAGTTATCTCTCTTTAACTTACAGACAAGATTTTCTGGCTGTCACTTTTGGCTCGGGTGAGTTCTCGCTGTAACTTGGCAACCTGTTGTCTCTCCTTTCTGTGCTGTTGTCTCTCATTGGTCAACTGTCGACTCAGGTCCTCAATTTTCTTCTCCAGCACATCCTGAAATTGATAAAAAAGGATGTATAATGGTTAGGATTCCAGTACCATAAGAGTGTGACATTATTTTCGTACATATCTACATCTTCCCAATGCCAGGGGTCCTGAGACAGGGTCCCATGGCAACGTGTTGACTCTGGAACCCTGGCATTGCAAGGATGACATATCCATAACATATTACATACATGTACATAAATAATCAAATTTATATACCGGGGTAATTTGAACTATCGGTATTTTATAACTTTAAATATTTTTTCACTGACATTTTTTTAATTCAATTTCATTTACCAATGTAAATCACATTTCCAGTTTAATTTTATTTTATAGAGTAAATGCACTGATTGGAGTCAAGGACTGGTATTGGCAACACATCTGATGCAGTAATTGTTTAGAAATCACACCTCAGACATGCCAAACGGACATGCTGCCAAAAATCAGGGGTATGAAAGTGATCACTGCCGAGTTTATTTATCCAAGTAAACCTGCCGCAAAAAAAGCACATACACGAGGTGCAAAAAGTCTACAGAAATCTGTTTGATTCAGTCACGACCACATTAGCATGTTTGTTTGTGTGCTGATAATATGCAGACCTTTGGCATCCAATGTGTTAAAGAGTTCTTTGTATCTGAAATGCTCAAAGAAATTAGACTAAATCGTCAGTAAACTGTACTGAAATTCCACAATTTTCTGATTTATACCTGGGCCAAACTTTACTGAATGGAAAAACTCAAAGCAGAAACCCACACTGGTACTTGAATTAGAACAAAGAACAGGAGCACCTAAGGTTTAATGTAATATTTTATGTATACATACTTGACCTTTTCTTAAAACTTTCCACCTTAATACATGTAGTTTCAAACCTAAATTATGTAATAGGCATTTAAGTATTTGAAGTTATCTGTAGAACAAATCAGTGAAAATTGGCTTGAACAGACATTCAATTCCCAATAATCTTGTTCCATCTTATCTTCCTCTGTTGGAAATGAAAAAATCAGACACCTATTTCATAATCTTGCAGACATCTTCAGGAATCCCTTACCTAATATATACTGTGATAGGTATAGAGAAATCTCGACAGATAATCTTTTTACCATGTCAGCAACTATAAATATTACAAAATCTTTCAATGTAACCGTGAACCTTACTAATCCCTCTCAATATATCCACAGAACATCAAAAGCGCAAATACCAGGTAAATGAGTATTATCATGATTATAGACAAATCTGTGTACAAAAATACTTGTACACTAAATTCACCTTGCAGACTCAAATTTCCAGATGAAAGAGCTTCTTAGGTGTCTCTAAACACCTAATTTTTTTTATCTTCAAATTTTCCATTTCTTTAACACATTTAAGAATAAAAGAAGATTTTAAACAGACTTTAATCTACTCCAAAATCAAATGTAATATCTCTGAGAATTGGGAGAAATAGGATCAAATGGGAAATAAAAATTGCATACTGACAGAAAAATAATTATACATCAAACATTGGGTATAGCAAACATGAAGAGACAACCAACATTGCATTGGGCTTATCTGTATTTATGCATCTCCATGGCACCTGTACCACTATTAGAAACTTATAGTACTAACAGAATGCTACAATACCCATTTTCCCTTTTTACTCAACCATTAGGAGATTACCATAAAATAATTCCTTTAATTTACAACCGAGTAAGCTCTGTAATTTTATTCACTTGAAAGAAAATCTCTCATTTGCCTTTGTATTCTTTTCTTTTAGTTTTCTTACTGCTTCATGAAACCTCAAACTACGTGAAAACTAAGCTACCATCCAAATTAACGTCCCATGGTTCATTTTAAATGAGTTTGAGAAATTCATTATGACAATCATAAGCATGATAAGCATGCAGTTATTATTTTTAAATTACACATTCCATGCTTTTTGTGTAATTTTTAACTTCCAAAATAAGTTGACAACAGCTTTTATCTAATTATACATGTACTGTATATACTCGCCTATAAGTCGGTTTTTTGGGAGTTAATCTATGGTCTAAAACTCTTTGTCCGACTTATAGGCGAGCTATTAAATGTATGGTTTTATAAAAGGTCAGTCCATCCGATATATCAGCTTATTAAATACAACTGACTTATAGGCGAGTATATACGGTACATGCAATTCTATATCAGTCGCAAATTCCATAAAAAAAAAGTGTTATTCATTACCCCTAAAATACAACTAAAATTTCATTGTTTATTGAAGGTGATAAAAAAAAATCCTTAAAATTCAACATAGATAGGTATCCGCTAAAGCTAGATACATTGTTAACAGGTTTTTCTGTAAAGTTTTAAAGTTCATGCAGTTTTATATCATTCACTAATGGTCAGTTAAGGAAGACAGCTGGGAGGGGGGTCAGGTGGAGAAATGGCTGCTTACCTCCCAGTCAGTACTAGAATCAGTGGAGGAAAAGAAATCAAAGTCAAACTCCGGTGGATAAGGTTTTCTAGGAGGCAATGTCTTAGATTTGGGAACATTTTTATTCCTTTTCCTCTCCATTGAATTGTATAATGATTAATGGCAGGAGATGTTCTGTCACATAAACATGATTTACACATCAGCCACAGATAAATTTGACTTATCCCATTTGCTCCTGCTCACTGCATTATGGGTCCTCAGGTTCCTAAATCATACAGCACAGAGATTCTGAAGAAACTGGTGGGAATCTTCATAACTCAGATACCAGTGATTAGATTTTCTCTGAGGCTTCATTTGAAAAGAGAAATAAGATGACTACCAGATTCTGTCGTTATTCTATGCACTCCATTCCTTAAATTCTTGCTCTCTGCGACATTCCTGGCACAGAAATCTTCCCCCCAACATCCACCAATGCTGACTGACCACAGTATGTCAGAAAGGAGCTCACACCAAGTGATTCTGGGAAATGTGAGCCCTCTGTGTACAGATGTTCCCTCAGCGAAGGGAGGTCTGATTCATGTTTACAAACTTCTACCTGCCCGAGGTACAAAGGCTTTCTATAATTACTATATGTAATGTAATGTTCTTTAAAAGCATTTAGCATGTTCACAAGCTTTCACTCACAGCGTGCAGATGTGAGGTCTATAGTTTGTTTTACAAAGAGGAAAAAAAAGTTGGGGGGGGGGGGGGATTTGTACCTTCAAAAATTATGAAATGACTATATATATAAGAAATGTATGTTTAATTATTTGTTAAAAAATATTTATCAATGCAATCATTCATTTATCCACTTATACATCAGCAACAAGATTAGAATTACAAAATGATGACAAAATTCAAACATTGGTACATGTTTTACAAAAGCCATCCATCAGACACAATGTGACAGAATTATTAATATTTTCCTACTGTGCCTTACGTCAATTGAATTCGATAAACACTGAGGTACATAATATTTATCTATGATTGATTTGGATGATAATGTCAAGTTTACAATCAAATGGTTTTTATTATCATTACCAAACATCAAATCATATCCAGATTGGAATCAAAAACTATATGACATAAAACTGCATGATAAATTGTTACATTGCCCAATGAATTTCATACAGTACACAAGACCAAAGTGGACTAAAAAAGTATGAGGGTGTCTTGAAAGTCTATTCTTGTACTGTTAACAATTAGCATGATTTGTCAGGTAAGAGTGCATCAAAATAAAATGACACTTGAAAAAAAATACACATCAAAATCAAATAATGGAATGTATTTCATATATCTACGATGTCCCATTGAAACAGACTTTAACAATCAGGTAAAAAAAATATTCTCTAATTTTAAGCATATGAAGGGAGAAGCCTTGGTGAATCTTTTTACATTACGAGACAGTATGAGATCTTTTCATCAAAAGGCACTTATCCCTATCTATTCCTGAATGTCTCCCCCCACAGCAGGATTCAGTTAATTTAACGAGTTTTACTAATTAAGAAGATCTCCCTCCACCGTGAGTCACCGGGCTACTGTAACGTGTAAAAAAGAATATGAACCTTCCTTCTCTTTTTTTGTAATTTGGTTAATAAGAAAATAAGAGCGTGAGAAAACCTCGTGCTAAGGGACATAACTCAGTGGGACAAGTGAAACACCAGTGCTGTTGATTTCACACTTGATCAATTTTTACTGTAGTTATCACAGAACCACTTTTTCAACATCTTTATCGGGTATATCTATAAATAAATTAACATTTGAAGTGTTATATTCCTAACGTTAATACAGCCAATCTGTGTGGTAAGCTGTGCTTAATACACAGGATTTAACTACAGTATAATCTTTGAATTAAGTCAGAATTTTGAAGATTAACTTAGGTAGTTAATTTACTCATTTTGTCTACCCTGTAGAAACTTTTACCCAGATGTTACATGGAATAATACAATAATTACTAAGAGGGAAATTATAATCTCTCTTATAGGGTGAAGGAGTATCAATTAATTAAATTCTTTGTAAAGTAGAGAATTATTTCAATATATACTGGCACCAGATTTGTTAATAAGCATTTAGTTTATCTGAAGTGTTTGCTAGAGGTATCAACAGGCCTTAAATAAATGAACGATCCTGAGTTTGGCATTACAGAGTTCCAATCCTTAACTCTTCAAACAATGTTAAAAATTTCATTTTGAGAATTAATTATAAATACTGGTTGCATAAATAAGTTCTAAACTTCCAGTACTATCATGCATGCATGTAACTGGTGAATTGGAATAACATATGCTTTTTATAATTCAGCCAAATGGCGAACATATTGTAAACATGACATGCTTTCCATGGGAAAGATATGCTAGACAAATAATCATTATATGAAACAATAAATACAAGAAGAAATTTTCCTCATCATCATATATTCAGAGATACAACATGAAATCTTCCGCAGCACATCTGAGTCACTTTTATGCTTCATTCATATTTTACTCCATCATATCAAACCTTATTTTTCTCTCGTTAGCTCAGCTAAGTAAACTGTTCTGCTGTACCCAAGTGTTCCTGTGTTACATTGCTATAATGAATTTAATTAAAA